AGAAGAAGAAGAAGAAGAAGAAGAAGAAGAAGAAGAAGAAGAAGAAGAAGAAGAAGAAGAAGAAGAGGAGGAGGAATCAGGTATAAAGATTGGAAAGGAAGAAAAAACCCATAGTTATTAAATATGGCATAATTGTATATATATAAATCTAACATTATCTATGGATATATTATTTGAATTAATTAATTTAGCAAAATTGCTGGATCTCAAATGGAAAATATCAATTGCATTTCCATATTAACAGCAAAAAAGAAAAGATAAAAGTCTTTTAAAAACATTTTAAATAACATCAAGTTACATGTGGTACATGAAATGAAACTAATAGAATCTCTTCAATTTATATATCATTTTTGGGAGAAGAGAAGGAGTAAACAAATGGAAGGATATACCATATTCATGGACTTTCCAGGCATTACTGGAAAGATAATACCAAAGAAATTCCAACAGCTTTTTTTTTTCATTATTTTGATTCTATAATATTTAAAGTCTCTTTCTTAGAGAAGAAAACAAAAACAAAAATGATGGGGCACTTGCTGGGCCATATTCTGAGGCCTATATTACAAGGGCATAGAAATTAAGTCAAGGATAAAAAAGAAATCAGTGGAATAAAATGGAGAATTGAGAACAGACTAAATTGAGAACAGAATAAAATAGAGAATTGAGAATGAACACTTGGGGCTGGGGATGTGGCTCAAGCGGTAGTGCGCTCGCCTGGCATGCGTGCAGCCCGGGTTCGATCCTCAGCACCACATACAAACAAAGATGTTGTGTCCGCCGAAAACTAAAAAATAAATATTAAAAAAAAAGAAGAGAATGAACACTTGATTTATATAATGATGGAATTTTAAAACAGTAGAATAGAATCACATTAATCTCATTAAATGGGGCTGAATAGTTGAATATAGAAAATATGAAAATTGACCCTTATTGCACACCATTCACAAAATCAGTCTAGGTAAGTTGAAGATCCCAAAGATATTTTCCTTTAGGATCTTCTGGAATTGGAAAATATCTTTGTGATATTGGGATAGAGTAAGATTTCTTAACTGGCCATAAAAAAAGCACTAATCAAAAAGGAGATGATTGATAAATTGCATTATTTTAAAATCACACACACTTTTTTTTTAAATCAATGACACTTTTTAAGAAACTGAAAGGGCAGTCTATCTAGTAGAGAAAATATTTGCAATATGCATAACTGAGAATATAAAATACTTGCTTCTAATTAAAAAATTGTCAATCCAATTAAAAATAGACATATGACAAAAGAAGTAATCTGAACTGGCCATGAAATGCCCTCAATATCACTCTTAATGAGGAATATGTAAGCTAGAATCAGTGAGATTTGACTAAATACTCATTGGAGTGCTTTGATAAAAAGGACTTGTCATAGCAAGAATTGGGGAGAATGCGGATCAGTGATTGGACTCTTACAGAACTGGTGGGATTATACATTTGGTGGGGTTACTTTGGAACACAGTTTGACATTATCTACTGAAGTAGGGAAACACATACCTTATATTCTGCAATTCTAATTCCAGGTATGTAGCCAACAGAAAACCATGCCAATACAAAGAGACAAACATAATGCTTATGGAAGTAATTTCCAAAATAGCCCCAAATTGGAACCAATTACCATTTCCTCATTAAAAGTAGAATAGCTAATTAAAAAGAGAACAAAATGAAAATAAAGAAAAAGAAAAATTACGCTGTACTGCAGAGATCTGCATTAAAAACCAAAGAAAAAGAGGTAAAATTATTTAAAAAAGCAGAATAGCTAAATCAATTTTCATATTCATAGTCTAGAACAATACAAGAAATACATTTACATTTCACAACATAGATGAACTTCACCAATAGTACATTGAATGAAAGAAAGAAGAACTAACAAAATCTTTCACTGCATGATTTCATTTGTCTGAAGTCCTGAAAACCTAACTATAAGAGGCAAAACCTAAATAGTGTTTAGAGCTGCACGTATGTGTGAAAAATCAAGGAAGTGTTTACACTTAAAGCCAGGAGAATGGTTACCTTGAGGGAGGTGTGGGAATAATGTTTGGGAAAAATCAGCAGGGAGACTTCTAGCGTGCTCAGAGTGGTCTATTCTAGACTGGAGGGCTGTTACACAGATGCTCACTCTGTAATAATTCATGGAGCAGAATCTTAGGATTTGTGCCCCCCCCCCTTTTTTTTGGTATATTTATTATATTTTAAAAGAAACTTAGATGAAAGTGGATGGAAGTGTATCTGTAGATGAGCCAAATGGACAAAAGAGTAGCTCAGAACATGAGCACCAAAGGGTCTGCAGTGAAGCTTTTAAAAAATGTTCTATGTCCAGAATTATTTGTGTGACCTGAGTGGTCTTGCAGCCTGCTGACTTTCTTCATGTTAGGTATCCTCACAGAGATACCATTGAAAGTTGACAGCACAATAACATAAATTATAATTATATAGTTAAAGTTTAAGAGGTCAAAGTCAAAAACAATTTAAAATTATTAGTACTGGGAGAAATAAGGGGGGGCTGAAATAAAATCTACATTATTCGTAAGAGGGAGAATTAATGTTATTTAATGATGAAACAAGAAAGTAGAAGCAAATTATAGTTGCATATCATTTAACAATGGGTTATATTCTTAGAAATGTGTCATAAGTTGATTTTGTTGTGTGAATGTCATTGAGTGTTTATACAAACCTAGATGGTCTAGCCTACTGCACACCCAGGCTCTATGGTATAGCCTATTGCTCCACAGGGGTGCGCACAGTCCATTGTTGACCAAAATGTCATTACATGGCACATAACTGCATTTAGAGATATGGTGGAAACCATTAGAAAAATTAGAATTAGAAATGATCTTTTAAATGGTGGCTTCTGGTGAGGAATGTGGAGAAGACTGCTTTCCACTATTTCCTTTGCTTTTTGTGTGTATTACTTTGATAAATCTAGTAAGACAGTTATGAGCTTCCAGGATGTATTATTCTCATCTACTTGAATTAGGAATTGCTTTTTGAGTTTGTGGCATTATGAATAACCCAAGAATAATGTCTACAGTCTGTCTTATCTATGCTGCAGCCGATAGTGACCACTGTTTCCAAATTACTCACAGGAATTATAGCTGTATCACTGCTTAATTATTACAGAGCTTCTCAATTAGGATTTTATAATTACTTTCTTATAATTACTTTCTTCTTAACTTTATTTATAGAGACATTTTAATTAGAAACAAGCAGGTTAACAGTTACATTGTACACGGACAAGTGGAAAGTTATGAACATCTGAAAAACAACTAGTTTTATCAAATTGAAAGTAGACTAATCAGTCACCAGGCATGGTGGTGCACACTTTATCCCAGTGGCTTAGGAGGCTGACGCAGGAGGATTGCAAGTTCAAAGTTAGCCTCACCACTTTAGTGAGGCCCTAAGCAACTTGGTGAGACCCTATCTCTAAATAAAATACAAAAAAATGAAGGGGCAGGGGAGGAGCCTGGGGCTGTGGCTCAGTGGTTAAGTGCCCTGAGTTCAATCCCCAGTACCCCCCACAAATAGACTAATCAATGCTAAAAGTGAAATTTCTAAAAGCATTCATTTATTACCCTGCCTGAGGCATTATTTCTTAAACAATGAAATAAAGGTAGTTTTGTTTCTTATAAACATTGCCTTTTGGGTGAAGAGCTGAAAAAAAACTCCAAGATTCATCTTTTAAATGTAAAATTTAGCTATTGAAAAATTGACTATAATTTCTTTTCCTTTTAAAACTATAATTTCTGAGATCTTTAAAAGGCATTTCACTATTTCTGTTCATAAAATGTTTATTAATACCCTCTCTTTAAAAAACTCTGATAACAATTTTTTCTATATCTTTCAGGGTTTCTTTTTTTCCCCTCAAAATCCGGATATCCCAATGCATACTATCTGCTAAGTATTTTAGAGCTAAGAACCTCTGAGAAAGGATCCTATAGGTTTTTTTTTATCACACAGCAATCTTATATATTATTTCACATAGAGGAGGTCAAAAAGCATGTCATACTGAATCATATTAAGTATTAGAATATATCATATGATATCATTATAATAGGACTAGCTCAACATTGAGTGAAAAGAACAGCTTATGATGTAAGACGGATCAATCACATATACCATATAATTGAAAGTAACTGTTCTGTCAGATGTGTTTGTGTGACCAAATGAAGTCTCTCCATCTATTCTGCATGCACTGGTGTCTATTCTGCCAGACACTGTGCTGGGTTCCTATGCCCACAAAGATGGACAAGATCCCTGCCCCCCCAGCCACTCCAGCCAAGTGGAGACAGCTGAGCAGTGAGTGGAGTTACAAAATGATGTGCCCCGGACTTGGACAGGTCCAAGTTTTCTTTCCCTTTCACTATTTGAATGATGGGGGTGTCTTGGCATTGAGGAATAGAGAGTGGAAGGCTTTTCAACATCACAATTAGCAAGAGAGGTGTTCATTTACCTCGTAGAAAGAATCTGATTCAGGCCTTTGTGCTGAAACACAGAAAATCATTCTGTGCTAGGAGACCTCAGGGAACTCCTCCAGGATGTGGGGCCCTCAGAAGTGGAGCCCTGACCCCAGGGGAGGCACGAGGAGTGGAAAAGCCCCGTGGGGGCGGGTAGAGACAAGAGCAGGAAGGGGACTCCTAGACCTCTCTAGGGGCGGATTCTACATGGATTGAAAGGTGACTTGGTGGGAAAAAATCAAAGGCAGCTTATCTGCATGATGGCCTACTTTAAGACTTTGCTACCTTCTTAGATGCTGGGGACATGAACTGTCATTACTGTGGTGCAAGTGTTCACAGCCTCCCACAGGGACCCACGGGATGAGAAAAGGAGGGACTTCCCAGCTCAGGCTGCACAACAGATGTGAGAGAACCATAAAGACAGAAGGAGATATTTAGGAATGCGAATGGTTCAGCGAGGCTCAGCACAGACCGTGCATCCAAAGAAGCCTTCATGTTCGGTAACAATAAATTATCGACTCTTTTTACCTTGGGCAGATTTGGGGCCAGGAAGTGCAACTCAGTGTTGAGCAAAATAATTTCCCTTTGAGGATGAAGAAAAAAAGAAAAGGTGGGCTGCGATGTTCTCAGGGATACCGGCCACTGGGGACAGAGACTTGTAGTATTCGTCTTCCCCATCCAGCACTTTGAGATGGCTGCAACAAAGAAACGAAGAGGATTTTTTCATCAGAAAAAGCAAACAAATGACATAGTCTTCCCGGAGGCAGCAAAGTTGTGTGAGAAGTTGGAATGGGATTGAGTTCCAACACTGGAGGGGAGGGCACTTAGGTATCACAAGGTTTCACAGCACAGAGGTAGGGGGCTCTGTTTCTGGGTCACATACTGACAAGGGGTCCATTTTAGTATTATCTAGACGTTGCGATCATCTTGAAACTTGATTTATGTAATTAAATTGCTTATTTTCATCTGGTTTCTTCTAGATGAAAAAATTCTCCTCCTGATCTCACCCAGTTCTCAAAACAGTACCGATTATCTACTTCCCTGCGATTCTCAGTAGAGATGCTAACAACAGATGAGCTAAAGCTAACTTCTTACTGTCCTCTCTTTCTCCATTGGGGGAAATTTTCTTTCGTGCATGTTTTAAGGCCCAGGGTAAGGATAATGCGAGCAGGAAGCAGCCCATTTGCACTCAGAAGAATCCTCTTATTTGTGGAAAGAGAATTTAATACAACCCGCTACCTGTCTTCAATTATGAAGAAAGTACAATTCCCTAGAATAATTAGGAGAAATAACATTTGCCCTTAGGTGACAATCTCAGCCTTTCCAGACAAAATAGATTCAAGTTTTGTATACTTGCTACTGTGAAAAGTCGTTTCCAATGTCAATAACAGTGGCAATATCCGGATTGAATATTTTTAGAAGCCTCTCTGGAAAGTTTTGCCTTTTCTGTAATATCACAAAGGACCCCTTCTGTTTACAGTTGCTTAGAACTAAGAAGACAGATATTTACCCAAGTTTTCTTGGCTTCCTCTTGCTCCCTTGATATTCTAGAGTTCCCTGTGGAGAGGGCCAAGAACACACAGTCAAAGCAAAGCAGCAAGTCGTTAATTTTTAATTCAAAGTGATTTTGTGTTGAATGCAAGCAGATGCTGATAATATCAGAAGTCACAGCATAATTTTTTTGATCAAAGGGCTCAAGTGAGCCTGATGAAGCATGCATCTTGCTCGTCTTTGATAAACCACATCAATTATTCACCGTGAAGGCAGACATCCTGACATGAAAGCAACAGATAAAGAGCCTAAGCACATGTTCACGAGGAGAGCATAAGAGAGTGGGGGTGGGGCTGGAGGGGCTGGAACAGGTATTAATAACAGAATTATTAACTGGAAACAAAGCCAGCGAAGCAGCTTTATGGCCACTTTGAACTCACATTTAACTGGTTATAGTACATGGTGTCCTCAGGGCTACTCAACATTTTGGGCTGCTGATAGCGTCGGCGAGGTGTTCGCTGCTTCTGTGCAAGACCGTCTTCTGAACCTGCAACCAGACAGCAACACTTGACTGTAAGCCGTCCCAGGTGTGGGGAGAATTAAGTGAAAAATGGCTTTTCAGACAAATGCACTCAGGAGGAGCCGAGACCTGTTTTAATGGGCGCGGGGAGCTTTGCAACAACTAGGAGAAATGTCATCGGAAAAGCACACGCTCAGGAATCGCTAAGTGTAAACACCGGCTGCGGTCTGTAACTTTGCCTTCATATTTCTGATCTGAATCAGCAGTCTGGCGTGACAGAAAGCAAATTGGTGTGTCCTTACTGGTGAGGGAGAGGTTGGTGGTCAGCCTCTGCCAAGGAGAGCGCCTTGGGTGCGATAACTCCATTAGGACGACCAAGGCAATCTGGGATTGTTTGCACCACATCCTACAGTGAGAGTTCAAAGACATCTGGAGCACACATACTCTTGGGAAGATGAGAAGCGAATCTTTTGGTGGGATACACTTTGGGGGAAAATAGCTTGAGCTAGTATTTACTAAAGTGCTTTGAACACTACCACTGATCCATGCAGTTTCTGTAGAATGTGTCTAGGAGGGGAAGGAGGGTGATCCCATGTCATGGAGCAGCCTCTCACTGTTAGTCTTGATTTAAGAACCCTGGACCAAGAGTGCACTGGAGATTAGGAAACCACGTGTCAGATGAACTTCTGATTTATTCCCTTCCCAAGGGAATGAGTTTTGTGGACTCTGCTGCCCTTTTGGTCGTATATCTGAATCCAGATCCAGCAGTTCTAACTGCTGGCCAACACTCACACTCACAGCTACTGTCACAGAACATTGTCTGCGGGCGTCCTAGCGCCGTGAGGAAGAGAGTGTTTCCTGAACAGGGTGTTTATGATGAACTAATTGTTCATCAAAAAGAGTTAGAGATCTGTATTTTGAATCTTCTTTTAAGTTTTAATAGAGATTTTCATTCCTGAAGGAAATTCTGGGGGATTCTTTTCCCTGTACATTTTACATACTCTGTTTTGGAATTTAAATTTATTTTTAATAGTTACAAAAAAACCATTAAAATTTACATATTAATGGGGTACCATGGGCTATTTCCGTACTTGCATATACACCATGTAATGTTTCCATCTGGTTAAACATATCTATCTCTTCATTTATCATTTCTTTTTCTTTATGGTGTAAAGAGTCAACTTTGTTTCTTCTGGCTTTATGAAATGTACAGTAGATTACTGTTACCTATAGTCCTCCAACTGTGGGATGGCAAATCAGAACATCTTACTCCCAACTATAACTCAGTACCCATTGATCAACCTTTTACCATCTTTGACTCCCTGCTATTCTTCCCAGCCTCTGGTAACCAAGATTCTACTCTCAGCTTCAATGAGATCAACATTTTTATATTCTGCATATGAGTGAGATCATGCAGTACCTGTCTTTCTCTTCCTGACTTATTTCACTTAGCACAATTATCTCCAGTTGCATCTGTGTTGTTGCAAATGACAGAATTTCATTCTTTGTTATGACTAAACAGTATTCCAAGGTGACTATGTACCACTCCTTCCTCTTCCTTTTATCCCCTCTTTTCTTGGAGATTGAAAAAAGGACCTTTCACATACTAGATAACTGCTCTACTACCGAGCTACATCCGCAGCCCTTTTTTATTTTGAGACAGGGTCTAAGTTGTTCTCTGATCTTGAATTTGCAATCCTCCTGCCTCGGCCTCTTGAGTTGCTGGGATTACAATTATGAGCCCTGCTCAAGCGGTAGCGCGCTCGTCTGGCATGCGTGCGGCCCGGGTTCGATCCTCAGCACCACATACAAACAAAGATGTTGTGTCCTCTGAGAACTAATAAATAAATAAATATTAAAAAAAAAAAAAACAATTATGAGCCCTGGCACCTGGCCTCCACATCTTCTTTATCTAATCATCAGTTGGTAAGATGCTCAGGTTGTTTCCATTTCTTGGCTTAATGAACAGTGTTACCATGAACATGGGAGGGTAGATGTCTCTTCAACATACTCATTCCACTTCTTTTGGGTAAATAATAGGATTACTGAATCACATGGTAGTTCTATTTTTAATTTTTTGAGGAACCTCCATACTCTTTTCCAAAATGACCACATTAATTTATATTCCTACAAATAATGTATTAGTGTTTCTTTCTTCCCACATCCTCAACAGCACTTGTTATCTTTTTAGGAAGAGCCATTCTCGGCAGGGCAGAAACACATGCTTGTAATCCTAGAGTTTGGGGAGGCTTGAAGCCGGAGGATCACAAGTTCAAGGCCAGTTTCAGCAACTTAGTGAGACCTTGCTTAAAAATAAAAAATAAATAAATAAAAAGGGCTGTGGATGTGTACTCAGTGTTAGAGCACCCCTGGGCTCAATCTCAGTATTGCCCAAAAACCCAAACCCCAAACCAAAACATAATAAAAATCTCAAAGAATCACTATTCTTACTTGAATGAAGTGATATCTCATTGTGGTTTTAATTTGCATTTCTCTTATGATTGGTAATGTTGATTTAGTTTTTTATATACCTGGTGACCTTTTCTATATCTTCTTTTGAGAAATGTCTATTTGAGTCTATTGCCCATTTTAAAATCGGGTTTGTGAGGTTTTTTTGTTTTTTGTTTTTTGCTATTGAGTGTTTTGAGTTCCTTATATATTTCAGACACTAACCCCTTGTCAGATGTATAGTTTGCAAGTATTTTCTTCCATTCTGTAGGTGGTATCTTTGCTTGGCTGATTGTTTCCTTTGCTGAACTGTAGCTTTTTAGTTTGCTTAATCTCATTTGTCTATTTTTGCTTTTTTTTTTCTTCCTAGAGTTTTATTCAAAAAATCATTGCACATTCCACTGTCCTGAAGCATTGTTTTCATGTTTGGGGGAATTTTTTAAATAGAGAGCTATTAGGCAAGGACCATAGGAAATAGCAAATTATCTGTTTTCTAAGTGAAGTTTTTTTGGGGGGAGGTATGGAGATTAAACTCAGAGGCACTCAATCACTGAGTCTGAGCCACATCCCCAGCCCTATTTTGTATTTTATTTAGAGACAAGGTCTCACTGAGTTGCTTAGCACCTTGCTGTTGCTGAGGTAGGCTTTGAACTTGTGATCTCCTGCCTCAGCCTCCCAAGCCACAGGGATTACAGACATGCACTACCATGCCTAGTTAGTATATGATATACATAAATATATATATATATATATATATATATATATATATATATATATATATATTTGGACAACATTAATCCTTGATTTTCTTGAATTTGAACATATCTGTCTGGAAAAGACAACAGATTTTAAAAGCTGTTCATCTGACTACTCATTTTCTTTTTCAACAGAAAGGCTGAGGCTCATAAATGTTTAATGACTCATTTTAGATCAAGTGACAAGGTGAAGACCCAACCCTAGATCTCTTACACCTCATGTATGTGTGTGTGTGTGTGTGTGTGTGTGTGTGTGTGTGTGTTTAACCTCAGCATATTGTCTTACAAGAAACTTTTAAAGCCAAAAGTCTAAACAGAAGCTCCATGAAAACATATTAATTAACATAGCAAACTCCCCTTGCTTTCCCAGAGTTTCCACAGCTTTCACAAACATTCCTGTCTTCAGGAACACGATGCAGAGCCCTGTCTGTTGAAGTCTTTGTCAGAACTAATATGGGTTCCTTTTAATGGTTCCAACACATCTATTTCCTGTTAGCTTTGCAACATTCATATTCTGAAGGGTGGTAGTGTGGGAATAGGTGTGAGAACCCTTGTGTCCTCTCCTTTCTGATTTATAGATTAATGAACAGAAGTCTCCAGAGGTCGGGTTGCTGGTGTGAACAGGCACTAGAGGTCTGACATCTGCTCTTTCTTAGACCTTCCAATATTGCTGGAATTCTATCCATGGCAATTCAAAAGACTGATCTAAAATAGTTTTTGGGTTCAGCTGGAGTTCAGCCCAGTTCAGCTGGACTTTATATAATGTTTACACTTGATCAGAGGTTTTTATTTATATTCTTTCAAGTGGCAAAGTTGAATATAAGATGTGGTTCTCAACTTTTGCTCTGGATGACTTTACTCTTCCCATGGGCTAGTATTCTCCTGATTGTTGGAAGGAATTAAGTTATTGGCTAGAATTTTATCAATTCTAAGACATCTCACATATATTAAAAAGAACTATTGTGATCATATGGCATCTACACTATACTAGAATCTGGCAAAACTGATTGCCTAGTTTAGCACTGGATTTTAATTTTATTTTTTTTTTAAGTTCAATATCTCCATGGCACGACATTCTGCAAGGAGTGCTGCAATTTCTAGGTGCTTTGCCATTGGGAAAAAAAATCCAAGTGTCACTGATACATGATCAATTTTAAGCAACCAAATAAATGATTGGAAAAAAGTTATTATGTAATAAATACTGTTGGGCTGGGCTTGGTGGTGCACACCTATAATCCCAGCGACCTGGGAGGTTGAGGCAGGAGGATTGCAAGCTTAAGGCCAGCCTCAGCAACTTAATGAAGTCCTATGTAACTTAGTGAGACCCTGTCTCAAAATAAAAATATAAAAAGTGCTAGGGATGTGGCTCAGTAGTAAAGTGCCTCTGGGTTCAATTCCCTGTACCAAAAATAAATAGATAAATAAATAAATAAAATTAAAATAAATTAATTAAAACAGTAAATACTGTTGGAACAATTTGATATTGGTATGAAAAATACATAAATTAAATTCAGATATGATAACACTTAATCCTATATGCAAGGTACTTTGCTGAATGTCGTGGGGGAAGACAAAGGGAAATAAGACAAAGTCCCTGCTTTCACTCTAGTAGAGGACCATGAGTCTTGAGAAGGTAGCGCTAGTGCTGCTGAACCCAAATTAGTTGTTTAAAAATTTCTAAATCTTTATTTTTCTCAACGAACCTCTTGATTTTTACATGCTGCAAAAAATTTCAGATGAGCTCTACAGTTAAACATTTTAGACATTCCCATATAAACTTTAGAAAGAAAGAAAGACTATTTATTTCCACTGTGGAAGGAGATA